AGGCCGGCTGGTGGTCGGCGTTCGAGATGAAGACGCCAGGCGCCGGATGCTGGAGATGCCGGAGCTGACGCTGCAGTCGGCAGCCGACATCTGCCGTGCGTCTGAGAACGCCAGCAGCAGCACGTCAGCCATCCGGCAGCCGGTGACGTCATCGCTGGCCAAGCTATCTCGATACCAGCGAGATAAGCGATCGTCGTCAGCGGTAAAGTCTGGGGAGAAGTGCGCCCGCTGCGGCGGAGCGGCTCACCGGGATGAGCAGAGGTGTCCGGCGGTTGGGCGCCCATGCTTTCGCTGCCAGGAGCAGGGACACTTCGCGGCTGTTTGCCGGCGCCAGCATGCTGAACCACAGAGGCGCGACAGGAGCAACAGCCGGCGCCGTCAGGACCGCCGAAGCGGTTCACGCGTCCAGTCGCCGGTCCAGGTTGTGCAGCAGGTGACGGCAGCGCTGGCCCAGGGCGTCAGACGGGTTCCCGACGTCCGTGTACGAGGCGTCTCGGCGCGCTGTTCGCCACGGGTCGAGCTGCAGCTTCCTCGACCGGACGGAGGCGGAACGGCCACGACCTACTGAACGCCCGACACCGAAGCTGAGACGTCGGCTGTGTCGCTGCGGTATGCCGAGAGGTTCGGCATCAGGCGGAGCAATCTGACGCCACCGACAACCAGGCTGCTCAGCGCGGACAGCAGGGAGATGCAGTGTTTCGGCACCTGCAGCCTCACACTTCAGCTCGGGCGAGTTCAGCACACCGTGGAGGCGGCGGTCGTGAAGATGCCGAATGGCCCGTTGTTCTCGTGGCACGGCAGCATCAAGCTCGGCATCCTTCCCGAGAACTACCCTCAGCAGATAAAGGCGATGTCGACGACTGCAGCTGCTGGAGATGCTGTTGGAGATGCTGCTGAAGAGGATGTCGACCGGGAGGACGCCGATGACGACCCTAGATCTTCAACACGAGATAGCCGATGTGTGAAGACAACGACGCAGAAGATGCCGCCGCGGTGGAATCCCAAGACGGTGGGAGCGGCATCTCGCGGAGTACCGCCGCTCCACGAGAGACAGGAGCACTTCAGCCAAATGAAGGCCGCCTTCCCGCGGGTGTTTAATGCTTCAGGTCCCCTGCGGGAGATGGCTGGTGGAACAATGAAGATCGAGCTCACGGAAGATGCCGTCCCGTTCGCGACCCACGCCCCTCGCGCCATCCCGCTCTGTTGGCGTGATGAGGTACGGGAGCAGCATGACGACATGATCCGGAAGGAAGTCATCGAGCCAGTGGATCATCCGACGCTCTGGTGCCATCCTCTGGTGCCAGTGCCCAAGACGTCAGAGAACGGAGCGGTGTCTGGATGTCGCCTGACTGTCGACTTCACCAGGCTGAACAAGTTTGTAGAGACCCATGCATCCCGTGAGAAGCACGCACGTCGCGGTGGCATCCATCGGCACAGAGGCCAGATTCTTCACCAAGCTCGACGCAAAGGCCGGCTATCATCAGATCCCCATCAGAGAGGAGGACAAGGACCTCACCACCTTCATAACGCCGTGGGGACGGTTCCGGTTCCGGAGGGCGGCCATGGGACTGGTCTCCTCTGGTGACGTCTACAACCAGAGAGGCGACCGAGTCCTGGGAGACGTGCCACGGACTTGCAAGGTCGTCGATGATGTCATCGCATGGGACTCCGACTATAACGACCATCTTCGGCACGTCTGGAACATCCTCGCCCGCTGTGAAGACAGCGGAATAACTCTCAACCCGAAGAAGTGTGTCTTCGCGGCGGAATCAGTCGACTTCTGTGGCTTCACAATCGGAACCAGTGGCTACACGCCGGACAGTAAGAAGGCGGCGGCAGTCTCCAATTTCCCATAGCCGGAGTGCCTGACGGATCTCGGGTCCTTCCTCGGCCTGGTCCATCAGATGGGAGCGTTCTCTCCAGACGTAGCGCGCGCTGCAGAGCCGCTGCGTCAGCTCCTCCGTCCAAGGACCGCATGGCTGTGGACGGAAGAGCACACCAAGGCCTTCAACGAGGTCAAGACGGTACTGGTAAAGCCGCCGGTTCTGGGTTTCTTCGACCCGAATAGAAAGACGGTCCTTGAGACAGACGCAGCACGCCTGAAAGGCCTCGGTTTTTGTCCCAGGCAGCAAAATGAAGCAGGAAACTGGCGCCTGATCCAGTGTGCGGATCACGCTTCCTGACAGACACAGAGACGAGGTACGCCGTGATCGAAGTCGAGATGTTGGCCATCGTCTGGGCCATGAAGAAGTGCGCCATCTACCTGCAAGGGATGGAGAAGTTTGAAGTCGCTACCGATGACCGGCCACTCATCCACATTCTGAACGGGAAGAGTCTACAGAATATTGCCAATCCTCGTCTCCAACGCCTGCGGGAGTGCCTGGCGCCCTACAGCTTCTTGGCAGTATGGAGGCAGGGGAAGCTGCACGCCATTCCTGACGCCCTGTCGAGGCACCCGGTCGAGAAGCCCACTGGAGATGACGAGACCACCGGAAAGGAGATCTCCTGCCAGCTCTCCAGCATGGTGATCCATGCTGTGACCAGCACCGATGGAGATGGGACAGCTGCATCACCGTTCGAGGACACGGCGCTGTCAGCGGTGCAAGCGGCTTCAGAGCGCGATCCTGAGATTTTGGCCCTCAAAGAAGCCGTGCTGCCTGGCTTCCCCGACCACAAGTCCGAAGCAGACCCGCAAGTTCGACCATACTGGAACATGCGGGATCGACTGGCGGTAGACGGTGACCTGATCATCTGCGGACAGCGGATCGTCGTCCCCAGCAGCCTGCGACGGGACGTTCTGCAGAAGCTGCATGCCAGCCATCAGGGGGGGAAGAAAGAACAAAAAGAAGAGCGAGACAGGTGGTCTACTGGCCAGGTATCGACCACGACATCTCCAACGTAGTGAAGGCCTGTCAAGTGTCGGCTTCATCTCCCGAAGCAACAGAAAGAGCCGATCATCCAGATGTGTCTGCCAACAAGAGTCTTCGAAATCGTCTCATTGGATTTCTTTGAATATGGTGGTCGTACGTACCTGGTGTACGCCGACAGGCTGTCGGGATGGCCCTGGGTCTCTCACATGAGCCGGACCGCATCAGCACATCAGCTGACAACCAGTCTCCGGCAGGCATTCGCGTCGACTGGAGTGCCCAGTGTGCTCCTGAGTGACGGAGGACCCCAGTTCGCGGCCAAGAAGACCAGAGACTTCCTGGCCAAGTGGGGTGTCAAGCACCAGCTGTCCTCGCCGCATTACCCTCAGGCGAATGGGCACGCGGAAGCAGCAGTGAAAGCCGTCAAGAGGCTCCTCAAGAAGGTGACTGCCAGCGGTGACCTCGATACGGACGCATTCGCGGAGGGGCTGCTGGAACTTCGAAACTCTCCGAGAGCGGACGGACGATCGCCAGCTCAAGTGCTCCTCGGCCATCCGCTGAGGCCGATGGTCCCAGCTCACCACAGCTCCTTCGCCAAGTACTGGCAAGAGCGTGCTGATGTGTGCGACCGGCGCGCAGCGAAACGGCAGACCGCAACCGCACCGTTGCGCCGAGGAGAGCGCAACAGGCGGAGGCCAGAGAGGCTGCAAGTGCGGTGGGGTACATGTACGTACCAAGAGTGATCGTTGTACTGTAGGTGATGTTATTGGATGCATTATTTTCCGGCTCCGGGGAGGGGAGATGTGATGCAATTGTGCGTGTCGTTTTCTTTTGTGAAGTGCGTTGTGTTGTTTTGCGTTTTTTTGGCAGCAATGCATCCTGTAATCCCAGAGGGAGGTGTGATGTTCTGAAGGGAAACTGCTGCCACCGGTCAGATTGTCCACGTGGCGGCGCTAGTGCTGCCCCCGCCTGATTTGAGGCAATACAGTTCTAAGCCCGGATCCGCCGTGTATGGACGCTCCGCCGAGCCGCGTACCGACAGAGCACGGACCGAGAACATAACAATGACCTTCTGGAGAGTTCCATCTCTTGCGGTGTAGGTCTGGGTTTCCTCGAGTCATGGCTTTTGGTACAGCAGAATTCATAACGAAGTTGATGAAGGCTTCCGTCTGATCGGACAGGGTGATTCCGTCGCTTGAATCGCTGGTTAGTGGATGGCGTGACATGAAGTCGGCTGGGTTGTCCTTCCCAGGTCGGTAGACGATTTCGAGATTGTACGGTTGCAGGCGCAGACCCCAGCGCTCGATTCTTGCTGGAGGCTTCGACGCGGAGTTGCTCCAGATGAGTTGCACCGGCTTTTGGTCCGTTACCTTCTGACCGTGTATGTATAGGTGAGTGTTCGCATCCCCAGACGATGACGAGAGCTTCTCGCTCGGTTTGCGAATACCGGCTTTCCACGCTGGTCATAGTACGACTTCCGTATGCGATGACCTTGATGTCCTCAAGATTTTCAGGTGTGGTCTGGCACAGGATGGCACCAAGTCAGTGCGGACTGGCGTCTACGATGAGGCGCGTATCCTTCTTCTGATCGAAGTAGGACATCGTTCCAAAGCTACTCAGAGCTTCTTTGAGTCGCTGAAAGGAGGTCTCGTGATGGCTGGTCCACTCCCAAAGAGTGTCTTTCTTGGTGAGGTCTCGCAGCGGGCTCATGAGGTCGGCGTAGTTCGGTATGAACCGTGACAGGTAGTTCGTCATGCCGAGGAAGCTTCGTACTTCCGGTGGGTTCTCTGGTGCCTTGGTGTTCACGATCGCCGATACCTTCTTGGAATCTGCTGACATTCCCTCCGATGAGAAGGTGTAGCCGAAGAAGGTCAACTTGTTCTGGTTGAAGGCGCACTTCTCACGGTTGATGGTCAGCCCTTTTTCATGCAGCCTTTGGATGACCTTGGTCAGGGCTCTGTCGTGTTCGGCTTGGTTTGAACTGAAGACGATGATATCGCCAGGGAAGTTGCGGACTCCTTCAACGCCACTGAGCGTGTGTTGGATGACGTTCTGAAAGACTTCGCTGGCTGAGCACACACCAAAGCTGAAACGCTTGTAGCGGAACAGACCCTTGTGAGTTGAGAAGGTCGTGATGGGTCTGCTGCTCGGGTTGAGTACCAGCTGATGATATCCTGAACGTAGGTCAATCTTTCTGAATACCTTCGCTTCGTTTAGGTCGTGGATGATGTCATCTACTGTTGGAGTGGTGTCTCTCTTTGGATAGCGGTATTCACACGGCGCATATCCACACACACGCGGATAGCTGTCAGGTCCTTGGGTTTGGGGACGCACACGACTGGGGATACCCACGGCGTCGGTCCGGTGACAGGTTCGATGATGTCCTGTTCCTGGAGCGAGTGGAGTTCCTTCTCCAGAGCCTTCCGTGTGTGAAACGGTATGCGCCTGTGCAGTTGAGCGATGGGTTTTAACGCTGGGTCAACATAGAGTTCCACTTGATGGTCTTTGAGTTTGCCGATTCCTTCGGCGATGGGATGGGTTTCCAGCAGGTCTTCGATCAGTGTTCTGCCTGGAGGGTTGCTTGTCACCTCTTGAATGACTTCCAGCAGGTCGAGGTCCTTCGCCGTTTGGAAGCTGAGGGGCGATCAGTGTGTTCCTTCCACGACGAAGAAGCTGGCCGTGACGGTGCGGTTTCCGTGCGTTGCTGGGGCCGTGAATATCCCTGTTATCGGCAGAGGGTCTGTGGCTATGTAGGCGAATAACCTTGTATTGGTGGGAGCGAGCTGCGGTGGTGGGCGCAGTTGTCGGAATGTGATGCTGCCGATCAGGTTTTTGTTGGCCCCTGTGTCGATAATAACACCGACTGATGTGCCTGCGACTTGCACGGTTGTGCGACGCTGTGTTTGACGCGTAGCCAGAGCGTAAATGTACTCATCACTACATGACTCCGTCTGTTCAGTGACCTGACGCACTGAAGACTTCTTCTTCATGCGATTGTGATTGTACTTCGGGGTTCGGTTGGTCTGTGGCATGTGCGATCTGGCGACTCCTGAGCGGCACATGTGGCTGAAGTGGTTCACTTTACCACACTGGTAGCATGTCTTTCCGTGTGCCGGACGCTTGGTGGGACCACCGTCGTGCGGGTAGGTTCCTCCGCACAGCCCACATGTGGTCGACGGCTGCGGCGTCGACGTGGATTTGTGTCAATTGGTAGGCGCTTGATGGTGCGGCGGACGGTGGGTTTGGACACGGTTGATTGCTATATTGGCACCGCACTCGATATTTACAGCCTGTGCTTCCGAAGTTTCCAACGCTCTTCCGGTGGTCAGCAGCTCGGTGAGGGTCATTGTTTCGCGCAGTACGCGACGTCTGAGCCTGGTCGATTTGCAGGCTTGAATAATGCAGGTCTTGATTTCGCGATCTACATCGGTAAACTCACAGTACTTCGCGAAGATTCGCAGACGGGTTGCGAACTGATCCAGAGTCTCTCCATTCTCCTGGTGCGCAGATTGGAACGTATACACTTCAAACTGGAGGTTTCTCTTCGGGCTGAAGTGTGATGTCAAAACGTCCCTCGTGCTCCCATATGAATCCGTCCCGTTTTCGTCGGCCGTCGTCGGCAGCGCGTCAAATATGTCGTGCACTGCTTCGCCTGCATAGTGCAGTAACAGAGCCTTCTTACGGTTAGGATCAGTGATATTTGCTGCGATCAGGTAGTTATCAAAGCGGGATAACCATTTGGTCCATCGCGGACCCACGGGTTATTCGTTGGGGTCGAACAACGGTAACGCAGGCGGCGATATGGCGGTCGCCATCTCGGCTCACCTCGATACGCTGATAACTTGCCGTATAGGTTAGGTACAGGGTGCTCGGGTATGGTAAACTCTCCGGCGTGTTCGAAAAAGTACGGCGTCGCCAAATGTGGTGTATATGGAGCTGGATCAGCTCGCGTATGGTCTGGTTCGGTGCGAACCTAAAACTCGTGGTAACGACCGGTAGGGAAACTGTTTATTTATTCAAGGTCAAACAGGGGGTTAATTTCATATGGTAGCCCAGGAGGGTATGATACTACAGGGGAATGTGAATGATTTTCATTTCGACCATACACAGACACTACACATCTGAAAGATTTTTGGACGGTGTATAAGCCCGGTGCGTAACCGCCCTCTGTTTTGGAGGCTGTATAAGCCCGGTGCGTAACCGCCCTCCGTTTTGGAGGGTGTATACGCGCAGTCCAAAATTTAATACTAACAAAGAAACATCTAATCAAGGATGGACATTTTTGATTGTGATGGGGGGGGGGGGGGGAGGGCGAGCCAAAGGCCCGACAACTGACACCCTTCCCCTCTTTTTCTCACTGGATTTAGCCCACTTTATTTTGTTAAAACGCAATGCTTGTTTTAAGTCTTTGTATAATTTACGAAATCATTTAATTTAAGCGGTATAAGATTTATGCGGAGTTCGATCCAGGCTCTGGACGCACACGTCCCTTTAGAAGCCACCTAAGGGCGCCGACAGCGCTCTTCTATGACAGTGATGGGAGGCGGCACGCATTTTGATTGTGAGGGACGGGGACAGGGCTAGCCATGAAGGACCCTCAGTCATTCCCACATTCCAGAGCTATTCGTTTCATCCTTGTCAACCATTGCGTGCCTTACAGCGCTAGGTATGTGAAGTTTATTGCATCGTAAATCCGCTCAGCTGTTACGATTTTTATCTTGTGGTGAGAGCAGCCGTAACTTTTTGCTTTGGGAGTGGTACGAGACGCCACTACACAGAAAGATCAAAGAAGACAGTCTTCGTATTATGATCATCTTTAACACACGTTTTTTTGTAGTATTCCAGCCAGACACGTTGGGGGGGGGGGGGCAAGCCAGCATTGGGGGGGGGGGGGGGGGGCAACTCAACATTGGGGGGCCAGGGCCCTCACAAAAGAATAGAAATTGACATCCGTACATGTAATATGGTTTTGAACACGCGCACTCGCAAGTCATAGCAGCAACAGCCTCGGCACCCTGCGCTGTAGCCTCTATAGGCTGTGCAGCGTTGGCTCCGCGGCTGTGGCACTTAGCGATGGCCGATGAGCAAACGAAAAAATGATGCATCTTGAGGAGGATGGTTGGTGAGCTAGGCAAATCCGCATGTATGTTAAGTGTAGTGCAAAAGTAAGGTTAACGTGGACTTAATCTGAGATTTGGCGGGGGGGGGGGGGCAGCCAGCTCTGCTGGCCCCCACCTTGAAAAGTGGGGGGCCATGGTCCCTCAGGCCCCCCTGTTCCTACACTCATGCTCCCCACGACCCACCTCGTTACACGGAAGGGATTAGTGAAGGTTTGAAGGCGATCGGACAAGCCGTTTCGGAAAAATTGCCTGTCTGCATCCTATGCCGGTTTTTTAGACCCTTCTCAATCCTAAGCTCTCGTTGAACCAAGACCTTGCCTTGATAGTAACAAAATAGGGCAGCAAGGTCGCCGGCGTCAAGCGGGAGGAAAGCGCAGTGTCAGGAGATGGGCGGAAAAATGTTCTGGTTTCAAGCCGGTTTATGGTATTCAGGTTGTATTGTGGGCTTATTAATTCATTTGGCTGCCTTAGTTTCCAGATACCGGAAGTGCATAAAGCTACTGGAGCAGACCGCGGACACGCAGAAGCGCATTTTCGGGGCTCGGGATGATTGCTGTCGAGCTGGAAGCGGAAACCCATTTAGTGTGGAATCATTCTCAGTGTTACTGAAAGTGCCCTGGGAGGCATGGGCGTAGCCACGCCTTTGATATTGGGGGATCAGAAATGCTGATCAAACTGGAATCTGGAGTGACAGGCTAATAAACCGATCAGCCGGTCGACGTAATGAACTGATCAACCCAAAAATTACGCAACGCAAGGGAAAGTGAAAAAACTTGCGTTGCACGTGAAAACGTACGGGACAATTTTTTTGTTGTTGGAAAAAATGGAAAGAAAGCGGGAAAGTTTCCTTTTTGGGGCGGGGGATGTCTGCCATGTCCTACATTAGTTTCATTCGCGCTAGGAGTTGTCATCATCTGGCGCCCTTCTTTAGCCATTGCTTGGCACTTTACCAAGCGCTTTTTCACGTTTTCGCCCGCGTCCCAGGGCCGCGGGGTACGTGACCCATACTCACTGGGCTGTGAGCACCTTTTGCATGCTAAGCGCGGTGCCTGACTCTTGATTCAGGAGTGTCTAGTGGGATGGGTCGGCAAGGGGTCTATTGAATCCCAGCTCCTTGCGCTTCCCTTCGCCAGGAGGGCAGCGACGATCCCATTGTCTTGTCGGTTTGGCGTTCCAAATAAACATTCTCGTCTCCCTTGAGTACTAATTTTCCCCAACCCCGAGTGTTAGCTTTAACCTCCTGATGTCAAATCCTGGTGGCATGCGGTGTAAAAATAAGCGGTGAACTTGGCGCGACTGCTTGCTTCAGGACTACGCAACGCCAACTTTTTGCGAGCCCAACGTATGACTCCTAAAACCACCGGCAGATGGCGTCGTAGGGCTTCACCTGAGAGTGTATCGTTGCTCGATTTGCGATAACCTACTTGCCTGAGAAGTCGGCGCAAATGTCATTCGCAAGGCAGCCTCCGTGGTCTACGGTAGATGGCACTTGGAGCTCTCATCCACAGGTAAGACCCCCAGGAAGGGTGCAAACAGCACGGCACTGTCGCAGTAGCTGCAAAAATATTGTTTTATAAGTACGCCCCAGTGGTTTTTGTGAAAATGCTTCGAGCGCGACCCCAAGAATGCATGTGGTCATGCTTGCGAGGCGATGCTGGAACTGGGATGTGGGCCATGAGCGTGCCAAGATAGAAATGTGTTCAACATAAGTAAAACACATGTTGCGTTTGCTGCGCTGGGAGGAGGCGGCCATTGCGCTTCGCCTGTTTTCTCACTTAGCTGCTGACTTACTGCACTGCGTTCCAGCAGGGGGGAAGGACTGCAGCCAGCAGAGGCGGCGAGCCGGGTTCGGCTGACGAAGATGGCGGCGAGCCAGACAGCCAGAGCCGGCTGTGGCAGCTTTTTGACCTGTCACAGTCTCAAGCGCCAGCGGCTCCGGGTGGCGCGCGCCACCGGTTGCCCTGGTCCGGCTCCGTCTGTAGTCAGCCGGTGGACCGTCCGTCGGCCAGCCCGAGCTGCGGCGCCGCCGGCGCGTCCGGCCGGCCATTCAGACTGCGGCTGCCGGGCCAGGCGAGCGCCGGCGGCCGGCCAGTCAGTTCGCGGCGCGAGGCCGACTGGCTGCTGCCCGTCAGACCGACGGAGCGAGGCTCCCCTGGCCCCCGCGCAGAGGGTCGACCGCCGCTCAGCCCGCGAGACAGGACGTCCGCAAGCCCCCGGCGGCCGGCGCGAGCGAGCCCGGGCCCCTGCCGCTCCGGCGACGAGGCCTTACGCTTCAACCTGTCGGACGGCTTCAGCTTCGAGGAGGACTCACCGAGTGGCGCCACCGGAGCGACGGAGCGACGCGACTCGGACGGAAGCCGGTGAGTCAGCTGACGCGGGGTCCTGCCGGAGCAGCGGCGGCCGGGGAGAGGTTTTATTCACGTTGCATACCGGGGGCAGCCTCGTCGTGGGGCGCGGTTGATGCGTGCTATTAACGCGTAATGACTGCTGCGCCATACAGATGGGCATGGCCATCGCCTTCTTCGGAGTCCGGGTTGAGAATGACTCACCGCACAAGCACCGGAGAAAATGGTTGTCAGTTGTGAGAAGCAGCCGCTGTACTTTTTTGAATGAAGAGGATTATGGTTTTTCGAATATTGATGATTTTTTATGTGCCTGGGCTTACCACCACTGGAGGTCAGCGAACGGGCTTCGTTTTAAGCGTAGTTACGACTGTCACGAGACGTCCAACTGTGTTTATCCGAATATAGAAGGGAAGTGCGTTCACATTAAGCTCCCTGAGCGGTCCTCGAGGCATTGGTTTGCGTTGGAGCCCAGCGTGCGGGAGCCAAGACACAGGCTGCTATTCTTGTAATGTGCGTCATTCTCGACTACTCAGACTCCGGAGGAGCTGACATAAGCTCGGCGTGTGTCAGGAGGAGCCGGCACAAGCTCGGCGTGTTCGGCTCCAAGGTGCTGCTGCCCAGCAATCCAGTCTGAGCTTGTTGAGTTCCGGTGGCTCTGCTCTTGTCACCGCGCACTGTCTCAGCATCGTCGCTCACACTTCGCACGTCTTTGACTTGGAGATGTGCACCACGCTTTGTTGCGGTCATGGTGTGCCTTCCGCACGCCGGTTGTGTTGCTTCAGGGGCGAGGTCTGCCGTGGCGCGCCCGAATCGTCGGACTGGTCACCGGTCGGCGGCGGCCGAGGGATCTGCCGTGGCGTGCCTGAGACGTTGGACTGGTCGTCGGTCGGCGGAGGCAGAGGGGTCTGCCGTGGCACGCCCGGGGCGTTGGACTGGTCCCCGAGGGGTGGCGGCGGGGCTGCGGCGCCAAAGCCCGGCCAGAGCCGGCCCGCCGCCCCGCCAGCCGGCCCGGCGCGCCCCAGCTGCCTCACCTACCAACAGTTCGGCGACGGCGGAGCGGTGGAGGCCGGCGGCGCAGCCACCGAGCCTGGAGACGGCCCCGCTCCTGTCGTGGGGGGCGGTGCCGCGCCGCCGTCCTCGGCCGCCGGCGACGGAAGCCTCTGCAGGGACTTGCTGTCGGATTCTGGCGTCTTCGCGGTCGCGCGCGGCGCGCAGGCCGACGCCTGCCACCTCGGCATCCGTGCTGCGACGGCGGCCGACGCCGACATCAGCTGGATCCCGCCTGCCGCCCTGGGGACTGGCTCGGACGTCAGCCGAGCGGCCGGGGTGGGGCGAACTCTCGGTGCTGAGGACCGGCTGACTTCCGGCCGCCCCCCGCCGCAGCTGGGTGCCGTCGCGCGACGTGGGTGCGCCTCGTTCGACCTCCTGGCCTTCTCAGACGACCTGGTGGGACTGGCGGGCCCTGACGAGGCTAGGCCGGCCGGCTCGCCGCCGCCGGTCCCGGGTGACCCCGGCCGCGAGCGGCCGATGTTCGGAGGACGGTGGTGGCCGCGGAGCGTCAGCCCCGCGGCCGACCCGCCGCCAGCCGGGGATCCCTGCCGCCCAGAGCACGGGCCTGTGGACGGTGCTCGAGCGTGGCTGGCAGTCAGTCCGCTGCCCCACCGGCCACCGCGGCGAGACAGCCCCGGCCGCGAGTACAAGTCGGAGGGCGGCCGAGCCTGGCCCTCGCATCGGGCAAGCGTTGCACGTGACCCAACTGCGGCCCGGGGCGACCCTGACCTGGACCACCGGCCGACGGGCGTCGCGCGGGCCTGGCAACCGCGCGGGCCCGGCCAACCGGGGCTTCGGCCCGTCTCCGAGCTGCCGCAGCGCTACCAGGCCGTGTTCGACGAGTTCCCTTACTTCAACGTCGTGCAGTCGACGGTGCTGGACGATGCGCTGTACTCGGGTGAGTAAGCGTACGCTGCGGTAACACCCTCTCGTCGCTGTCCCAGACTTGCCACAGAGCGTTCAGAAAGGTGGTTGAGTTTTTTAGCGCAAGAATATATATATATATATATATATATATATATATA